TACCTAGCTGCATAAAACAGCTATCCGGGATGATTTCCGTTCCTTTCTTATTTTCTGTTACTGTTTTTGCGGGCTGTTCTAGAAAGGGGTGGCTATCACCTAAGCTACCCACTGACTCCCACTCTAATTGAATTGAATTAGATTCACGTTGATTGAATTTGATTCAATTCCAACTGTAGAGTCAATTATAGATGATGTGGAGCTTTAAATGCACAGTCTATGTGGACAAAATCGTATTGTTTAAGCATTCAAATAAAACCTCTTCACTAGTACTTCATCTAATTCTATTTGTTTGTCAGTATTAAAGAAAATTGAATTTTTGGCTGCCCTTGAGCAAAGGGTAAAGGATTTCCACTGCGCCCGGTGTTATCTGTTCACATATCCTTATTCATATAAAAGAAAACAGAAATAAAACCGATTAGGTGTGTTACCTGTCGTTTCTGTTCTTCTTCCTGTTTCTCACGCTCTTTTTCGAGCTAAAAAAAAAAATCAACACACAGATCAGCTCAATGAAGTATATGAGTGGAAAAAGTTGAAATAGAGTTCGTACTTCGAGGAAACGATGGGAAATTCTGGGGGCTTTCCAGGAAATTACTAGGGCGCGAAAAGAAACTACCCAGCAACCAAAACTCTAGCCCGCGTAGTTTAAGCAGGTGCTTGGAAGTAATGGGCGCAAGAGGAGTGTCTCCCTCGCGCGCCCCGTTCTTTCTTGTGCCTATTACTTCCAAGTGCCAACTAATCAGGCTACCAAAACTCGGGTATTAATTTTACAACTCAGGCATTAATTCTACATCTATTCTCAGACATCCCAGCCAGTTTTTGGAAAATCTGATAGGTAAAATAGGCTGTTCAAGTTCAAAATATAGGAAAGTATAGGAATTTTCAGCCAAAATATAGGCTATTTATTGGAAAAAAATTAAAAAATCAAAAAAAAAATTCAACAAAATTAAAAAAATACTATTTTTACTGATAAAGAATTTTGATTTTCTTAATTCACAACAAAACTGCTTCACAGTGCAAAATGCATATATATAATAAGTCCTATTTATAGGAAATATAGGAGGATTTCTTGAAAAAAAGGCTCTTTACAGGATCCTATACAAATTGTAGGATAAATAGAAACAAGGGCTCTTGATAGAGAATATAGGAGGTCTAGGATGCCTGTATTCTCTAGATGCTTCAAAATCATTTCTTAACGAACAAGATTCAAGAGCCTGCTAACAGTATTCCACCGCATCTTGTCAATAGAGAGCTTAAGCAACAACGACGGCCACGAAAACTTCACTTAAAAACTGTCTTCGCGCTACTTCAAACTTTATCGCGCTTATTTCATCTTGTTCATTTCGTCAAATCTTGGCGAATTTTTCGAGAGTTGAATTCTAAAGGACTTTATCAATAATCAGGAAAAGGAAAAGAGGATCGTTGTCTTGTTGTCTCGTTGTCTTTGGGCCCTTATTCGAAGCTGGGCATAAACAAGATTTTGTGTTCTACAGGCATCGCCGTTTGCGATCGGTTAGAATGTAAGTGTTGAAGCGGTTTGAAAAATGCTCTGATTAAACACTTTAAACAACCTAGCCACACTTGCCACAGACGAAATAGCAGGCTCCAGCAAAATGAGGCCTGATTACAAGTAGGCTAATAAAAAAGTCTTAGTTATTCTTAAAAACTAAGGCCTCTATTCAAGCGACCTTTCTTAAATCTCGTTCTACGGTGGGGACCTAACTCCTATTCAAGTAGATCTGTTATTACAGAACGTTTGAGAGAAGTCTATAAGTTTGGATTCAAAATCCTCTTTCGCAGTCGAGGATTCAAGAACCAGTACTGGGCAAAAGGCGAGCGACAAACTCCTGAGGAGCACTATACCTCCTGAGGTGATAAGGCGTGAAAGGCCTTTAAATAGGGGCTTACTTCAATCACACTGGTGGATCTAGGAGAGGGGCCCGGGCGTCCCTATTTATTTTAGGCCAAATTGAAGCCCACAGGGCTGAGAAAAATTATCTTTGAGACCAGGCCCCCCTCTTTTTTTAGGGCCTGGATGAGTGAGTCGTTTACTATACTTCAAGATCTCAAAACACCACTGAATCAGTCGTTACCAAAAGGAAGATACTTAAGGGGACTTCTCTTAAAATCTCCAAGAATACTCAGACCCAATTCCTAAGAAAAATTTATCAATAAGTTGAGATAATTGACATCGTATCGGTTTGGTAAGCGAGTGATACCTTGAAGCAGGTTTGTTTGGGATATACTTTCCGACTCCTGACCGATAAACTTTGGGTGCTTCTGCAGGCGTGGCTGCCGCTTTCTTCTTCCTTGCCTCTTCATCCTGCGAGAAGAAACCGTCAAAAGGGTCACGCGAGGAGATTTCGAGGATTTTAGACCATATAAGAGTCGCTTTTTTCTCGAAATCTGTTTATCAAGGCGCCCGCGCGAGATTTTTGCAAGAAGCGCAAAAGCCTCACACTTTGTTTTCACCCTCGCGGCCTCGCTCCTGGATTTTTGTTCTCCCGCGTTCTCGACCCACTTAAAAATACGGACTGTTTGCAGTCTACGAGAAAATACTGTCCCCTTGTTTAGATGTAGACTTCAGATCACATGACATGGCTGCCGTATTTACATTTACTGGCATTTCACGTTGTTATCAAGAGGAAAGTGGTAAAGGGTGGGGGGTGGGGGGGTAGAAAGAGAATCGTACCATATTTGATATTAATCGGCCATGTAATTCTGAATTCTCGGTGCTGGAACCATATTACTTATACATTTCTCTACTTTTTTTGTGAGAAACTGTTACTTTGTTAATCTCTTTTTTTTTGACATCTGTAACATTTTAAAACTTGTGCGACTGACCTGCCTCGATTAGTTTTAGCTACCTAGAGGTCAGTCAGATTTGATTGTAATAGTCTACTTAATATATAATAAATAAACTTGAAAACTTGAAACTCGCTTCTTATTTGCGGTCGCTTCGGGTTCCCGTTGCGCACCGATTTCCGTTAACTGTTTTACCTAGCTGCATAAAACAGCTATCCGGGATGATTTCCGTTCCTTTCTTATTTTCTGTTACTGTTTTTGCGGGCTGTTCTAGAAAGGGGTGGCTATCACCTAAGCTACCCACTGACTCCCACTCTAATTGAATTGAATTAGATTCACGTTGATTGAATTTGATTCAATTCCAACTGTAGAGTCAATTATAGATGATGTGGAGCTTTAAATGCACAGTCTATGTGGACAAAATCGTATTGTTTAAGCATTCAAATAAAACCTCTTCACTAGTACTTCATCTAATTCTATTTGTTTGTCAGTATTAAAGAAAATTGAATTTTTGGCTGCCCTTGAGCAAAGGGTAAAGGATTTCCACTGCGCCCGGTGTTATCTGTTCACATATCCTTATTCATATAAAAGAAAACAGAAATAAAACCGATTAGGTGTGTTACCTGTCGTTTCTGTTCTTCTTCCTGTTTCTCACGCTCTTTTTCGAGCTAAAAAAAAAAATCAACACACAGATCAGCTCAATGAAGTATATGAGTGGAAAAAGTTGAAATAGAGTTCGTACTTCGAGGAAACGATGGGAAATTCTGGGGGCTTTCCAGGAAATTACTAGGGCGCGAAAAGAAACTACCCAGCAACCAAAACTCTAGCCCGCGTAGTTTAAGCAGGTGCTTGGAAGTAATGGGCGCAAGAGGAGTGTCTCCCTCGCGCGCCCCGTTCTTTCTTGTGCCTATTACTTCCAAGTGCCAACTAATCAGGCTACCAAAACTCGGGTATTAATTTTACAACTCAGGCATTAATTCTACATCTATTCTCAGACATCCCAGCCAGTTTTTGGAAAATCTGATAGGTAAAATAGGCTGTTCAAGTTCAAAATATAGGAAAGTATAGGAATTTTCAGCCAAAATATAGGCTATTTATTGGAAAAAAATTAAAAAATCAAAAAAAAAATTCAACAAAATTAAAAAAATACTATTTTTACTGATAAAGAATTTTGATTTTCTTAATTCACAACAAAACTGCTTCACAGTGCAAAATGCATATATATAATAAGTCCTATTTATAGGAAATATAGGAGGATTTCTTGAAAAAAAGGCTCTTTACAGGATCCTATACAAATTGTAGGATAAATAGAAACAAGGGCTCTTGATAGAGAATATAGGAGGTCTAGGATGCCTGTATTCTCTAGATGCTTCAAAATCATTTCTTAACGAACAAGATTCAAGAGCCTGCTAACAGTATTCCACCGCATCTTGTCAATAGAGAGCTTAAGCAACAACGACGGCCACGAAAACTTCACTTAAAAACTGTCTTCGCGCTACTTCAAACTTTATCGCGCTTATTTCATCTTGTTCATTTCGTCAAATCTTGGCGAATTTTTCGAGAGTTGAATTCTAAAGGACTTTATCAATAATCAGGAAAAGGAAAAGAGGATCGTTGTCTTGTTGTCTCGTTGTCTTTGGGCCCTTATTCGAAGCTGGGCGCTTATTAACTTTTTCTGCCTTAAGGATTGGCGCTTATTCGAGGTAGGCGCTCTTTCGAGGTTGGGCGCTTATTCGAATAAATACGGTAATTTCAAGTCATAAATGTTATTATGAAAATGAAGGGGAAGGAAGGAAGGAAGAAAGAACTTCAAAAGGAATTTTCAAATTCCAGGACATGTACATGTACTTACAATTGCGTCCACTTCTTCAAACGGATTCACAAACACAACCGCCTTGATCAGCTTTATCACCTCCTAAAAAACAGTTATAAAACAACTTTTAAGCACAGAGGAGTTACGAGTTACAACGAGAGTAAATGATGTCCGAGGTTATGCTATTTTGTCTAAATAAACAAGAATTGAACTGAATTCGGTATGCGTTTACCTTTGGTCGATCTTTTTCGTCACATTCAACTCTTTCCATAGCGTTCAAAGTTTCATGGCCACCCACCAATCTGCCAATAAAACTAATGTTAAAAGGTTTGACATCTTCTTTTTCTTTTGTTTTGTTTTTCGGAAAACTAAGTAATAGTGTTCTCAGACAATAGTGGCGGATCCAGGGGAGGGGGCCGGGAGGCCTGCCCTTCCCTTACTTATAGAGCAAAGTGAGGCCCGAAGGGCAGAAAAAAGATTTTTTTGAGACCCCCCCCCCACCTTATCTGAAGGTCTGGATCCGCTACTGAACAATTTACAATACTCGTCCTGGAAAGTTCCTTCATGTACAAATGAGCACAAAAAATGCATCAAAATGTTACCTGCCAAACACGGAATGCTTTTCATCCAAATGACGACAAGAGCGAAACGTAATGAAGCTACAAGTAAACAGATCACATTATGAATTTTACAGTGAATGAATTAGGACGCTTTATAGACGAGCATAGCCTCGCTTCCAGGGTGTTTTTAGCTATGTCATCATTAGCCAACCACGCAGACTTTCTTACGGCTTCGTCAGGCGTTCGTGCCCCACGTAGGGGAGGAATGATTACGTGACGAACGCCTAAGATATGTCATCAAGAACATAAAACAAAAATTACTGCATTATACATTTTTATAAGTCATTCATGATTTCAGGCCCTCAAGACTTCCTTGCTCTATCGACTTGCTCTCAGCAACTGTTAGCAGTCTAGTGACTCCAATAAAGGGAATACCGACTGCCAACAAGTATCCAGTCTCCAACTGCCGTGAGTCATCGAGGGTCACAACGAGACACAACAACTGGAGACTAATTACAACATTTTTAGGAAACACTTACAATTGTGATTTATTTGTGTTTGGTCCTGAATTTGCCATACTCAAAATTCCTCTGCCTGAAGAAGAAAGTGACAGATTCTGTACTCAGTTAGAGGTGCACCCACCAACACAACCTGAGAAAACAGCCGACATTTCGCAACGCCATCACTAAGAAGTTTCCCCGCAAAATGACGTCTGAGAAACGAGCGCAGAAACTCCATAGTGCTTGGTTGGAAATTAGCTTCAACCAATCAGAAGCACTGACCAGATCTGGGTAGTCAATGCGCGTCAGCAGTTTGGAATTTCTGCGCTCGTTCCTCAGACGTCAGGTCTTTGCTGTATGTGGACTTCACCTCTCAGTTTCAGTGTTAGCCTTAGAAAACAGCCGACATTTCGCGACGTCACCACTGATTTCCCCGCGAAATGACGAAGTAATAAAGTACACAACACAACTGTTATTCTGTCACCCACCTTGATGTATAAGGTTTGGTTTGAATTCATCCTTAAACGGTGCACCCCACGCTGATTCCCCTCCTGAAAACACACAAGAAAACACTAGTCAGTGAACAAATTAATTTGCTCCATAGATATCTCACCAGAAAAAAGGCTAAAAGCTCTACACTGGCGTTGGTCTTAGATGACTTAAGGAACAGACAAAGAAGCACCTCTGATCTCGTTCCATTAATCATTACATATATCAACATTACTGTCATATTATTTCTTAAATATTGCTGTGAGAAGGTAGTCAGCTACAGCCGTTCTCTGTGGAAACGAAAAACGAACCGCTTGTGGGCAGGAGCGTTGCGTGAGGACACAAAATGGCTGTGCAGAAGACTATATAGAAGGCTGCAAGGATGTTTGCGCACATTCCAAGGATGGGTGAAAGTATAATTATTCTAAAAGACATCAGCTGCAATCTTCAGCGCTGATATCTTTCTAGAATAAAAGCAGGCCAGTGTGGGCTGCTTACAAACAAACCGGAACAGGTGCAACAACAATATTACTATTTCCATATAATACATGCATTCTTAACGTATTATTGCAAACTCATCCTACAATGCATATTTTCTTTATCTGTACCTGTTCCAGTACCATTTGGATCCCCACCTTGAATCTACCGACAACAGACAGGAAACATTGAATGAAGGTAAATATACTATATTCAAAACTGTGAGTAGAGGGAAATTAGACTTCACAGGTTGGTTCATACAAAAAATTGCAACTATTTTAAAGGACTTTTCAAGGACCATATTCGATTTTCAAGGGCCATCTATCAAGAATGCAATTTCACAGATTGTACAAAAATGCACATTCCCACTCCCTTTTAATAGGCTGGCTAATAGCCTTAATACAAGTTCTCTTTTTGACATTCACTGATGAGAGAAAGGTTATGATGACTGGGTACCAACCAATCTAACCTGTGCCACAGACAGAACTAAACAGTGCTGAAATTCTTGTTCTTGGCCTCCACCCATGTACCATGATTTGAGTACACTGTCACACCATGATTGGCCTGTTGAAAAAGCGATGGCCAATTTGCCAATCACGTTGAAGGGAAACTCGAAACACATTTCCAGTAATGTTGAGTCCGTTAGGGAACCAGAACAAGAATAATAATCAGTGTTTGTTTTTTAGATGTTATGAACCACGGCTGGATTACGTCTGCGATGCAGGCTATACCCAGTCATCACTTAATGGTGTGATCACTTATTAAATAGGCAGATGTTTGTGACAAATCTCTTCAGTCATAAATTTTTGGACCATTGGAGTGCTACATTCACCTTAATTATTAAAATACACCAGATTTCTGGATTTTACCAAGCAATGAAAGCCAAAACAAGTGATTTGTACCATTTATTCTATACATTCTCAATCTTATGCTCTAAGTTAACTGGTGCCTTTGCTCAAGATCCATCACTCATTGATCAACTACAAGTGACTTCACTAGATGTATTTACCATAAAATTCCTGATGGATCGATGAAAAACTAAAACAGAAAAACAAAACCAATATTAGATCAAATCATAAGCAAATCACAAACATCAATCAAATAATAACAAAACTTTTACATTTTTAAACTTACTTGTGTTGTCATAGTAGCCTCTACTGCAAAGCTTGATAAAATTCTCACATGTTTTGGAAACCTGGAAAATGCAAATAAAAATTGCCAACAAATCTTTTAAACAGTATTAGCAACACTTTGTGGATCTTGTGTGTTATAGCGGGTGTCAACCAAGGCATCAGTCAACCTTCTCATTTGACTGTCAGTTGGTTGATTGTAGTTTGGGTCTGCATTTACATAGAGACACCTGACAACAATCTCACAGCTTGGTAAACGATTTAATCTTATCATGACCAACAGCAGCATTTACCTTATTAAAGGAAATTAAAGCTACATGAAAATAAGATATTGGAAATTTAAAACACAACTTAAATTAACACAAATTTATATAACGGAAAACAATTAGCTTTTGAATAAAGGAAAATAATGCAAAAAAGAGGATGGCATTTTAAAATGTAGGAAATTAATGCGACGTTCACAAAGAAACAAAACTTGTTGAGACATCAGGAACAAAGAAAAACGTAAAATTTGTTTGTCATGCAGTACTTTCCCTAAACGTATGAAGGGGGTCAAGCAAAGATATCTAGCGCCCCTTCCAGGGTTCTTTACAGTTTCAGTGATAATAGCTAGCAGATCTCCACCAATATAAAATACTCCTCTTTCTTGGAAGTCAAGAACATCAAAAGTGTATCGAGAATTTGGAGCCAAAATAATGGAAATTAAGGTCACTCCACTTAAATAACAGCGCAGACATTAACATTTACAAAAATTAACGCCACTTAATTAACGCAAGTTTTTGAAATTTGCATTAATTTCATGAAGCATCAATTTCCTATAATAAGGTATTCTTGCAGGAATGAAGTGGGCATTCCTGAGGCCTGAAGCCACTTGGTACATAAAGCTGATCAGAACACAGGATTCATGTCATCTTGCCTAGGGTTAAATACTTATCTCTTACCATTTCACAGTGAAGCTCCAAGTTCAAGTCACCATGACTGGTTTGCAGTCTCACATAACCTGAATAAGAAACATAGTCTTAAGCCTGGAAAACTGAGGTGTGCTTATCAAAATTCCTGTTGCTACTCTCACAAAGGACTCAGACAACTGATTTTCTAACTGTTTTTTTGTACTGTAGGACATTACTGTGCTATATCATTTATACAGTTATTATAGAAAACAACATCAGCCAAATGATGTACCATGTTGTCTGTGTATATTCAAACATAGAATAAAGTGCATTTTTTGCTTTTCAGAAAATATTCCTATCATTCAGGCCTTATACACTGAGGTTACAACATTATTCAGTGCTTCTACACAAAGTGAAAGACTACCATAACCTACCTTTCTTCTTAACTTCTCGGTACCTGACAACATCTTGATCAATAATAGCTAAAAATAACAACCACAAAATTACTATTAAATAGATTTATTGCATAAGGAGTAGCATTACATAGGAGATTTAAACTAAAGAATTGATGAAAAAAATAAAAATAAAGAAACTGGTCCATTAAGAAATCAAGGAAAAACAAGACTTGAGCCATGAAGCATTATTACACCTTTTGCTCTTCATTACGAGAAAATACGAAATCATTTGCGTGAAACGGCGACCAATAGTGCGAAAATACATTCATTAGCGCGAAAATACGAACATTTGCGCATAAATCAGATTCAATTACGATTTTTGCATTTTAATCAACATTCAATAACACTTTTGGGCATTCATATGCGTCATTGTGCATTCAAAAGAAAAAAATATACTTTTATTAACGCCAACATCAAAGTCATTAACACCATTTTGAAAGTCAATAGGTACAACTGACATACATTAAAGTGCAAACACTATTCATTAACATTTTTATGACACTGTTTGCAATTCATTAGCATTCCTGGACAACCTTAGGATGGATAAGACAAACATTAATGCGCATGTACAATCAATTGAGTGTTCTTTACATTTAATATATAACAATCGATTTTCAACTAAACAATAGAAATTCAAACAAATTTGACCTGTATTTCAGACCGTTAAATGTATATCCCTCAAAAACCTCGCTATTTAAACATTTTGGGAGGTAGGTTTGCATGAAATGGTACCCCTTAGCACATTTAGCTGCGGTCACAATCTAATGTTTCAGCGCAGAGCTTCAACCACTGCAGTTGTTGTTTCCGAAATCCGCCAGTGGGATTGCTAGGGCTTTGCCCTCTCATTCCTGTTATACATCTTTAAATTTCCGGACTCGAGATGTCGGCCTTTGGTGTCGCTTTCAGACAACTTAAATCCTTTTCAACGATGTCGAGTTGGGAAACAAGCTGTGTACGTATGGGGCGGGAATGGTCAAATCTAGGTGGGTTGGCACGCCGTCATACCCAAAGACCACCGACTTATCGGGATCCATTTTTTCCTCGCCTGTGCCAGAAAGTCACCGAAAAACTGACTCAGTATTCATTACTCCAGCAGCTGCCGAGGAGAACATTTGAGAGGTGATATTGCCATGGTCATAGTCAAGTTTCGTCCTCGTTGGCCGCACACTTTGCGGTACGCCTTCCACTCCTTGTCGCGCCCCACCATGACTTCTGGCCGACTAGGGTAAATGTATAGCCGCAGCCGTCCACGAACACACAGTGGCGAATTACGGCGTGATTCTTTAAACAAATTCAGGCCAATTTTTTGGGGGGGGAATTGGTATTGTTTAATTGAAAATAGATTTTTGTCTATTAAATGTATAGAACGCTCAATTGATTGTCCACGCGCATTAATGTTTGTCTTATCCATTCTAAAGCTGTCCAGGAATGCTATTGAATTGCAAACAGTGTCATAAAAATGTTAATGATTAGCGTTTGCACTTAAATGTTTTTCTATTGTCCCTAATGATTTTCAAGATAATGTTAATGACTCGAATGTTAGCGTTAGTAAAAGTATATTTTTCTCCTTTGTATGCCGAATGACGCAAATGAATGCCCAAAAATGTTACTGAATGTTGATTAAAATGCAAAAATCGTTATTGAATCTGATTTATGCGCAAATGTTCGCTTTTTCGCGCTAATGAATGTATCTTGGCGCTGTTGGTCGCCGTTTCACGCAAATTAATGCGTGTTTTCTCGTAATGAACAGCAAAAGGTGTACTTAAATATACAATTATTGTTGTAATGGTCCAATGCAGGGCTTTTCATACCTGCCTCCTGTTGTGTAACAGGAACTTGAGCTGTGGATGTAAATGAACTAGCAACAGCTCCAGTAGAATAATGAGCCTGTATTGATTGAAAAAAAAAATTAAAAAATAGCCAGAACTTCACCTCAAAACTTATCAAAGACAAGTTATGAAGTAAAAAAGTGATATGTGGTTGTCGGAGATAGCCATACCATTCCAAAGGCAGATCACTGGAAATTTCAGTGGAAAAGGGTCCCTAAAGGCAGTGTTTTACAGAGATGTAAAAACAAAACCAAAATTTTCCAAGGAGTTATCCTAGCCCTCTTTATAACGAAGGCATCAAAAGATAAGTGCCAAGTGTCCATATTTTTTCATTAAAGAGGTGTCCATGTTATAGAGGTACTGTATAGGGATGAAGTTTGGCGTCATTGGAACCAAAAGGACAACTCGTAAAAGTAAGGTACAGTGTATTAAAGAGGTCACCATTAGGAGAGGTTTAACTATACTTGATATGGCTGATGTTAGAGAGACAACTTACAGCATTCCTTTCTGTGAGTGACTCAGCTTTCTCAGCGCCCCTTTTCTCCTACAAATAAATGACAAGATCGAGAGGGAATAAAACAAAAGTGATCATTTGGTCACAAATGTGAATTATACAGCTGCATCTTTCATTTTTTTTGTTTTAATTATATGGATGATAAGATAAATATGAAACTAGATCTTTTGTAGTACATCAAGCCCTAGCTACCACTAGGATTATTTCCTACTAGATAAAGATAGAGGAAGACTCAAAAAAGATCATTAAGTGACAAGTGCAAATTAATATTAATAGCTGCATCTTTCAAAAAACTGTCTCTTGTGGTACATCAAGTCCTGCCTAATATCAAGTGCTAACTAAGATTATTTTCATTCTACTTCTTTTTGACTGAGGCGACATTATACAGTTGAACCTCTAACTGCGACCACCTGTCATAAGATACCACCTCCCATAAGTGACCACCTATCCAAAACACCTAAGTTTTCCCAGTCAAAGTCTTACAGTTGGAACCTCTAGTAAACGACCACCTCCCTTAAGCAACCGCAATAACATTTTTGTGATGTTCAGGCCTAAAAAAAAAATACAGTCATAACTTACTGGTTCTTTGTAGGTTTTCTCCAGCTCACTTAAAATACCTAATGTGTCTTTGTTAGCTCTGTTCAAATAATACTTTGGGTCTTTCTTAGCTTTTTCCTCCTCTGAAAAAGAAAAATAATACAATCAAAATTATAATATATAAAATAGCAGAAACATAAAGGGTTTAGTTTATCACGATTGTCACTCTGATACTGATCGTGACGTTTTGAGTGCACACTGCAGGCCTTGATGAGGCAATAGTATCGATTTACTGAGTCAGACTATTTGTACCTGACTGTGGTTGTTAGTGATTGGTGTATCACAAACCTCACTCATGGTTGGTGGGTTTCAGTCAAAAGCATCCGTGGTGGTACAAATAGTCCGAGTTAGTAAATCGACACTATCGCCACATGAAGACCTGCACTGTGTGGTTGAAACGCCTGATCAATAGCAGAAGCAAGTAAAAACATACTATAAAGTATTTATTGTACGATTATTCTTACTTGGGCAGGTATATCTAAGTAGTATTGCCATGCTGTGTCCTTTTTTTTCCTGACTTAGGGTCCAGTAAATTCTCAATAATTTCAATTATTGAAAGATACAATTGTTGCAGAGGTTATTGAGTTTTGGTCAACATCGTCATGTGTGGGTTTTGAGGTCTACATTGACCTGATAATATTTTGTTGTTCCTTTCAAAAACCTCCCAACAGTAACACTCATACTCTGGACCTTCTAGCCATATAGCCTTTGCTCACTTGACCTGTACAAAGAAATACATGTAATGGGAAACAAACAAAAATAAAATTACTATTAAAGTCATGATTTAACTAACCTTCATTTACTACTTTCAGATTGTTCTTTAGATGATGGAAATTTGACAGATTAAACTTATCAAGACTTGTTGGATCCTGATAAGGAGAGACAAAGACAAAAAAATACCTTATTTGGGGAGCAAGGTTGGCGCAGTGGTGCGAGAACTCGCCTCCCACCAGTGTGACCAGGGTACATATCCCAGCTTTGATGCCATATTTGGGTTGAGTTTGTTGTTGGTTTTTGTTTGTTTTGTTTTTCTCCGGGTACTCCGGTTTTGCCCTCTACTCAAAAACCAACATTTCCAAATTCCAATTTGACCACCAATAAGGTAGACGAAGAACTGCTAAAAGGATGTGCTATCTCTAAATTGTTATTATCATTTTTATTACTGCGCTTTTCACAAACATGCTAACTCTAAAGTTCAAAAGCTGCCTTCACAATTGCATTTTTCACTGTCATCAATCATAATTATGATCACAGGCAATGAACCTTGAAACACAGAAACACACAAAATGGATCGAAATCCACCAATCACAATTCACAAACCATGACCTTTTGAGCCCGTTAAAGTAAAGTTTTGTTTCCTAAGAGGGCTGTTAAGATGATTGATGGCAGTGAAAAATGCAATCAACAGTTGGCTTTTGAACTTCAGAATTTGCATGTTAGTGAAAATTGCAGTAATCATTATTATGTCAATCTTAATGAACATCAATTTAAAGGCACTCATACACCAAGGGTACATATAGGTCGGGAATATAGACACTCAGGACCTAATAATATATTAATACTCCATCCTGGATTTGATACCAACCCATTGGAGGGCTACTCTTAGCAGGCAGTGACAGGAAGGTGCAGAGTGCTCCAGATGAAGTTGTAGGGAGTTACATTTACAGGGAGCAGCCAACGGCTCCATGTGATTAAGGGGCAGGGAACTGAGCGGAATAGCCTATTTTACAGTTATAGAAAGAAAACCAGGCTGGAGTTGACCTTGTTTTGATACAACTCTTCCTGTTGTTCTTATGCTAACCAGTATTATTTTCAGAAGAAAATAAAGGAGGTTTGTACGAAAACAAGTTCAATCTCATTCTCACATTCACTCAAAGGCTTGGGTACTACAAGCTAACCCACAACCGTAAATGGTCTATCAAAGGCTACTGCCTACAGTTACCTTATGGGAAGCTAGAGGTAGCTGCAGGTAGAATAATTAAGACCAAGTGTACAGTGTACATGTACAAAGAACGAATAGCTTGCAGTATATGGATTTTTAAGGGGCATGTACAGCTGTAAGTACTAAATCTTGCTCAGGTTGTGGTCCATGGGTTATAAGAGGTAAGGTAGGGGGCATATGGGACAAGGCAGACAGGTCGGAAAATGCCTGCAAAAGAAGGCAGTGAAAATGAGTTACATGTATAAAGAGTGCTCTGTAAGAAGTTCAATGCAACCATAGAATTCTGACATGAAGTATATACTAGAAAAATCGAGCACCCACTGACTCAAAAATATATCTCCATTTTTGCAGTCTAAAGTGACAACTACATGTATGTGACCTTAACACAAACCTGTATTGTAACTATATCTTTTCTTGTAAAAGGTTCATCTGTCAGAAGGTCTTTGAAGTTCTTTGGCTTAATGTTTAATTGCTCTACTGCCTGCAATTGAAAACAAGCAAGCATTTAAATGATGATAAATAAAAAATTAATAAAAAGAAATGAGTTTGCTTGAATATTGAAATTTACTCAGTTCATAAAGAGTTCAAGAGAATCTTTTCAAAAACTTACTTCATAAGAGAACACATTTCCAGTTGGTTTTATTGCAACAATGTGTGAGTTATTATTGAAGACTTTGAATGTTACTGGACAGTGAAACTGGCCTGAAAATCAAGGAGCAAGTGTTAACAACAGGTGGTGCAGTGGTCAACTGCACAACATTGTACCACCCACTTTTTGAATGAAGGGTTTATAGTTTTAAAAGAAAAACACAAAATTTATACTTAAAACAACTTAGCTGATGGCATGACTGGTGTTTAAGATTCAAGCCCTTGCCCTTTGTTAGAGCGAAAAAATTTGAGGGCTACTGCTCATACAGCGTAACTCTCTAACATGGGGTTAGTGTTTAAAATGCACTGCTGGAGGGCTAGCTCTTGAAACATCAGCCATTTATTCTTCTTAGAGTTGTCAAGTCAGTTGACAAAACAAAATTTGTGTTTCACCACCTACTCTAGTTTGCTCTGTTACTGAAAACCGCTTAAACCAGCAGGGTTCATACCCAGATGCAATGATAACAGATTAGGCAAGAGTTGAAAACAGAGGTGAGAAATGCCACTGAACACTGACTGTCACAAACAAGCTGCGGTCATATTACCAGTTGATATACAAGCAAATACAGGAAAAATATATAAACTTAAAGTAAAAATCAGTTTCTTGTAAATGTCAACCTGATGTCTTAGCTTCCTCATTTATGTGTGTTATTGCTCATGGAAATCTTTGGACATGTAACCATCCAATTACAGTACTATATACTGTGTATCAATAATAAAATAAACCCAGTCCCCAATCCCAGCCAATAGTAAAGGATCCTAAACCCCAGGTTTCTCCACGGATCTCCTCATGTACTGCGGCACCCAGAAATTTAATGTTCAAGGGAGGCTCACAGTGTTCGTGTAAGTTGAAGTTCATTTTTATCCTTGATTTAATTTTTTTCTTTGTTTTAGGCATGGTAGAGTCAATAATAAATTTGAAATAAAAGAAAATGAAACAGCATACACAACAGGATTAGGGCTGAGTGTAAAAATAGAAGTTGGAATTTTTAGCACTTATTAGTATGTGTTCTACTACAAACTCCTCTAATGACTTCTTTTTAATACTTCTTCCTTCACCTCAAAATAAAAATTATGGTTTAGTACATTTACTACAAGTGCTCAAAATTCCAACTTCAATTGACCTACCTTCTGCATTTTTATGAAAATTCAGTTTTATCAGCTCTTTGGCCTGAAGAGGCTGTAAGAATAATGAAAAAACAAAAAGTACTGATGATCAGTGTACAGTCAGACATGTATTAAGCATTCACCCTTTGGGAATGGCTTACTGACTGTTTAATATAGGTTGACCGTTTAATACAGGTTTGACAAACATGAGAGTTATTCAAGAAAATGAAGGCAGTCAAAGAGTGAAATATCTATCCCACGACAAACTGACCTCCACATGTTTCTACCCCTTCTTGGCCCAAAAGAAAAAAGTTAAAGACCACTTGACACCATATACAGTGCGACCTGTTGCACTAGTACGGTACTTCTCAAAAAACTCATTAGGACCTCGGAAAAGGTGCCTGTGACCACTTAATACAGGTGACTGCTTAATTAAGGTCAGTTTTACAGTATTTATTAAGGGAAATGATTTCGTGAGTGACCGCTTAATAGAGGGTGACTGCTTAATAGAGGTCCTTTTAATACATGCTCTAACAACAATAAAGTCTAGCACACTCTCTGATTGTAAAACGAATGCCAAAAACAGAAACAAATTGTTCAGGGCCCAGTTGCTTGAAGGCCGATTATCGCTTAACCCGGGGTTAAATTCAACACGGGTTTCTTTTTCTTGTGTTCAAAAGCATTTTCTCGGATAATTTTCTCTGCTATTTTTAGAGCTTCCAGTCATCAACTTGTGACGAAAAGAATTAAAACTGAAATGCTTTTTAAGCTTTCAAATCTGAATTCAAATCTCGCACTAACCCTGGGTTACCTTAACAACGGGTTGGCCCAGAACAATGATGTTAACAAAACAAAGTGAGTAGAGTGTGATGAATGGCTGTTATGAAGAGCTTCCACTGTACATGTAACTTTCTTTAGTAGTCGGGATGCACTTGAGTGCCAGGCCATTGCTGCTGTGGAGTGTTGGTTGTTATAAAGCATCCCAGGGGCTAAAAAATGTGGCCATTATGAGAAGGGTGGCCTTAAGTAGACCTGTGACTGTATGCTATATTTTTCAGTACAAACCTCTCCTGTTACTGGATTTTTGGCATATTTCTTGAGATAGGGAACAATGTTTCTGACAAAGGAAACAAAATGATATACTTGCAAACATGTATCATAATTCATACAGATCATGGTACAGACATGTTAGAAAAACACACCCAGTATTTTTCCTGGACAGTTTCTTCATTTAAATACGTAAATATTAGGCTTCTACTGTACTGTCTGTCATTCGTTAACTAAAGGCAACATCAATGCCAGGCTAGTGGATGAAAATACGTTGTATTTTTTCTTCAGAAAGAAAATCTTTGCAATAACAGGATACTATGCACACTGCCAGCACAGCCTTTCTCTCACTTGCTTGATAACAATAATTTTCATATGGTCGAGAAAGACTCTGCATGAATCAAGTGAGATCTTTGTTAAGCATGCACTGTATGCTGCTATGAAACAGTTTCAAACCCAGCCCTTATAGCTGTGTGCTTGGTATGGTGGGCTCAGTTACATATATGACCACTAGTTTATCGATAAATGGATGCTCGCACTCGAGCAACCAGTTGGACCAGAGAAAACAAGATTGACTACTGGGTAATCCTGAAGTTCAGGCTGCAGCAACTACAAAGGCTTGACATGACTCAGGCAGACCTAAACTTCTGCTCTTGGGCAACTAAAAAATCTTAGTTTTTTCATAGAATCTATATGCTGGACACCCTAGATTTTACAGGTTCAGAGCACTGGGCTCCCTTCAATTTTCCTCAGAGCACAGCCTTGCTCCTTTTCTCCTCCTTGATAGACAAGAAGACAAAAAAAGGCTCTGCCCACGGGATAGTACACAGCTTCTAAAAACCTCTAATTTCAGTGGTTCTTCATAACATACAACTCCATTGTTTTAGGGATAGAGTCATTGTTATATTTCTATGTCTATTGTTTTCACAGCCAATCCTGCGAGGCCTTGTGAAGAGTTGCGTTCCACTCCCTGATGACAGGGTGAATACTACCATAGCTGAAAAGAATACTTAACATGTAGAAAACAAAAAGGGTGAATGATTTGTGTGTGGAAGCTAGATTGTGCTAAGTAAACATGAAACACTTACAATAAATCAAATATGACTCCATCCTTAGTGCAGAGAGGGTGCTCAAATGGCTGCAGAGAAAGACTAAAAGCAGGAAAAAAAACAACACAAAATAAAATGTTTGAACCCTGAATGCTTCGCTCAGTTAGCTCACATTTCAAACCTTTGGCTATAGTATTGCCAGTTTGGTACATATGGCTTATGTGTTGTAGGTAAAATCCTTTCTTAGGTTAAACAGTATTCCTCCAGGTTTGATTCCGAGTTTTCTTTGTTTCCCAATGCCAGTTATTCATTATTTACTGAGGATTTCATTATAATAATACACTGTAAATGATTTGTTATATTCAGGTTCTATCATACATTCCTACAGAAATTCTCATAGATCAAGCAAACAAACCTGCAGCAATGAAATGGTAATCTTCTAAAACTTGCTTTCTGAGGAACATCTAAGTATTGAATTATGAGATCAAGATCAATACAACAGGGCAAGAATTTGTTGTTGTCAATATTGAATGATACAATCCTGAATTTTGAATTTGTCAATCGATGTTTGCTGAATTTAATAGTAAGCAAATGTCATTTAAATAATTGTGAATTCAAGCTCTTTCAATTTTCATCGTTTTTATTCCAACATGCTCACTTTGTCAAATGTACAGTACTCTAGGGTAGGAGAACTTTCCTCTATTTGAATTTCTAAGAACCATATCCAAGTTCAGGAAAAAGAAAAAAAGAAAACTTTGTTATAGTTTGTTTACATTCCCCATAAAGCATGACATAAGTCAATTTGATGTCATGATTGTCCAGTGAAAGCAAAGAAATACATCTTAAAGTGTGACACTGATGAAGAGTTGTTGTTTTGCTAATTAAACCCATTGCTTTTTTGACATTCACTTTGATGTCCCCATAGTGATGCATGTATCTTAAACTCCCTTTGGTTTATTGAGCTGTATCAACACTTATGCAAAAGTGTTAAATGAGGCTAGGATATAGAGCCGTGGTGCAGAAATCTAAAGAGCTAAGAGTAAGCCCAACTGACAGCTTCAGTACATATGTTATTTTACTTTTTAGGAGTCTAATGTGAGTGAAGATAATTCTATACAAGTGTATGACTTGTAAGTGGTCACATTTCATGTCATATGTCACCTTCAATTACAACATGGCCATCAAACAAACTTGCTGATAGCCTTATCACCTCTAGCTGTTAAGTGATATTTTTTTGTTTAGAGAAGATTGCGGGAGATTGAATGGAAGTGAATTGAGGTGGGAGGTTCCTTGCTTATAATCATTTTCTATAAATTATCATCTAAGAATGAGAAGAACACAACCAAATCAATGTAATTTTCTATTCCTTACAGTATTGCTCGTAGTTAATGAAGTGTATTAAAGATAGTGCCATGTTTTGTGGTGCAGAAATTTCAAAAAAGAGTTAGAACATATGGAAAACTCACCAGCCTTTTTTCCTCCCCACTCCTCTTTCCACTCCTTGTTAGTCAAGTATCTTGAGATAAAAACCAAATGTTTCTTTTAATTTCCTATTGAAATACAGTTCCCGAGTTTCCTTAAGGGTTCTAACTTACAGTTTGTCTTTCTGATGCTGTTTCTTCCCCATTTTCACAAACTTCAACAATCGGCTTGATCTTTTTCTCCTCAATCACAAACATGTATGCGCCCTCGAACAAACTTATCAGCTGAAATCACGTTTTCGTTCATGTAAGACTACATAATAATTTCCTGAGCACACTTTTTTGATGTTGTAGAAAAGTATTGTGATTTGAAAACGTCAAATGAGACAAAATTCAAATTTCTTGACAATGCTGCAAATAAAACAAGCTCGTCTCTTATGTATTTCCGTTTGCTCAGATTGGTCTCCCGAGACAAGATAGGAAACAAAAAGTTTGGGACACAATAGTGCGGTTTAGACCAAGTACTAGGCGTTTTTTCCACCGAAGGAGAAAGATCAAAACGTGATGATAGTATTTTGACAATGAGCCAATATACGAGTGAATATCTTCAAGAAAAGCTCCAAAAGGAGTTCAACCCCATTCATTTGGTAAGAGAAAAAGTGTTGCCTAGTTTGTAGTACGTATGTCCTTTCGTAATTGCTGATAAGCTAATTTAAGAAAGATCGAGATTTCGCAGTGTGTCGAATGGTTGAATAATATTTTTCCAGACGTAACTAATCGATGATGAATAGACTGCAAAACAGTCCGTATTTTTGCGTATTCAAGTACGTGCGAGCAGTCAAACAAAAGGCCGATTTCTTTCCTGATTTTGAGAAAAAAA